ACAGTTGGGCCAGTAGGGTAATATGAGTCTCAAAGGCATTAAGGCAGCATTGAAAATTTGAGGTCTTAATATACAGATGGGAATCTTATATAAAGAGGTCTACAGATGAAAAGCAATCCCTTTCAAAATGGCAGTGACCTTTTTTGCAGGAAAAAAAAAGCTGGTCCTAGAACTCATGTGCAATTACAAGAGACCAGAAATAGCTAAAACGAACTTGAAAAAGAAAATTGGAAGACTCCACTATCCTGTGTACCATGGCAACAGTAATCAAGACTGTGTGGTACTGACATAATGAAAGACATACAGATCAATGGAATAGAACAGGGAGTCTGGAAATAAACCCAGATATCTACCCTCAATTGATTTTCCACTGGGATATCAGATCATTAAGTGGTGAGAAGTGGGAATCTTTTCCCCAAAACGGTATGAGGACAGCAGGATATACATATGCAATGGAATAAAGTTGGACTCTTACATTATGCCAAATACAGACATTAAATGGATAAAGAATTAGCTGTAAGAGCTAAAACCACAAAACTTTTAGAACAAATACAAGGGTATATAAGATTGCTGGGCTTGCTAACACAAAATACCACAGACCGATGGCTTAAACAGCACAAATTTATTTGCTGACAGCTTTGGAAACTAGAAATCCAAGAACAAGGTGTGAGCAGGTTTGGTTTCTTGTGAGGGTTGTCCTGGCCTGCAGATGGCGGGTGAGCTTCTCCCTGCATCCATACATGATCGTTCCTCTAGTGCATACCCATCTCTGGTTTGTCTTCCTGTCACCAAGTATACTTTTGTCTAGGATACCAGTCAGACTCATTAGGGTCTAACCATATGACCTCTGCTGACCTTAAGGTCCTGTCAACAAAAACAACCACATTTTGAGATAATGGGGCTTAGGCATTAAACATGTGGGAATATGGGGGGTCCATAATTCAGTCCTCAGAAGGGGTAAATCTTCATAACCTTCATCTGGCAATGGATTCGTAAATATGACGACAAAAGCATCAGTAACAAAAGAAGAAACAGATACATTGAATTTCATAAAAATCCAAAATATTTCTGCATCAAAGAACATTAACAAGACAGTGAAAGCACAACTTAGAAAATAGGATAAGAATCTTGTGGCATGCATATATCTAATAAAGGTCTAGTATCCAGAACACATGAAAAACATTTACAACTCAACAAGTAGCCAAGAAATCTGAATGAGAAATGAGCATAGACTGTGAATACAAATTTTTCCAAACAAGATATACAAATGTGCCATAAGGATGTGAAAATAAGCTTAACATCATTAGTCATTAGGGAAATACAAGGAAAAACCACCATATGATGTCACAGAACATTAAAAATGATAAGTAAGTAGAATTTTTTAAGTGAAAAATAAAACATATTTACGAGGATGTAGAGGCACTGGGATCCCTGTACATTACTGTTGGGAAATGCCAAAGAATGTTCAAACTACCACACAATTGCACTCATTTCACATGCTGGCAAGGTGATGGTCAAAATCCTTCAAGCTAGGTTTCAACAGTATGTGAACTGAGAACTTTCAGATTTACAAGCTGGATTTAGAAAAGGCAGAAGAATCAGAGATTAAACTGCCAACATCCATTGGATCATAGAACAAATTCCAGAAAAACATCTATTTATGCTCCACTGACTATGTTAAGCCTTTCCTCGTGTGGATCACAAGAAACCATGGAAAATTCTTAAGGAGACAGGAATACCAGACCATCTTACAAGCATCAGTTAGAACTGGACATGGACCAACAGACTGGTTCGAAATTGGGAAAGGAGTACATCAAGTCTGTATATTGTCACCCTGTTATTTAACTTATATGCAGAATACATCATGGGAAATGCTGTGTTGGATGAAAGACAAGCTGGAATCAAGACTGCCAAGAGAAATATCAATAACCTCAGATATGCAGATGACACAAACTTTATGGCAGAAAGCAAAAGGGAGTTAAAGAGCCTCTTGATGAAGGTGAAAGACTAGAGTGAAAAGCTGATTAAAAGCTCAACATTCAAAAAAACTAAGATCATGGCATTTGGTCCCATCACTTAATGGCAAATAGATGGGGAAACAATGGAAACAGTGACAGATTTATTTTCTTAGGCTCCAAAGTCACTACAGATGGTGATTGCAGTCATGAAATTAAAAGATGCTTGCTCCTTGGAAGAAAAGCTATGACAAACCTAGACAGTGAATTAAAAAGCTGAGACATTACTTTGATGAAGTGAAGTTGCCCAGTTGTGTCCAACTCTTTGCGACCCCATGGACTGTAGCCTACCAGGCTCCTCCCTCCATGGGATTCTCTAGGCAAGAATACTGGAGTGGGTTGCCATTTCCTTCTCTCAACTAAGGGTAGATATCTGGGTTTATTTCCAGACTTTGATGACAAAAGTCCATATAGTCAAAGTTTTTCCAGTAGTCACGTATGGATGTGAGTTGGACCATAAAGAAGGCCGAGCACCAAAGAATTGATGCATTCAAACTGCAGTGTTGGAGAACACTCTTGAGAGTCGCTTGGACTGCAAGGAAATCAAACCAGTCAATGCTAAAGGAAATCAACCCTGAATGTTCACTGGAAGGACTGATGCTGAAACTGAAGCTCCCATACTTTGGCCACCTGATGCTAAGAGCCAACTCATTGGAACAGACTCTGATGCTGGGAAAGATAGAAGGCAGGAGGAGACGGAGACAACAGAGGACGACATGGTTGGATGGCATCACCAACTCTATGGACATGAGTTTGAGCAAACTCCGAGAGATAGTGAAGGAAAGGGAAGCCTGGCGTGCTGCAGTCCATGGGATTGCAAAAAGTCAGGCACAACTGAGCGGCAGAACAACTGGACAACAGCAAGTAGCTGTAGAAAAGAGTCTGAAAGCTCCTGAAAGAGTTAAAAGCCTTATGGTTGTCTCATCAATTCCACTGTTAACTACATAAGCCAAAGAATTAGAAGTATTTGTTCAAACAAAAGGTAACAAAAAGTTCTATGCCCATGTTCATAGCAGCCCTAACCGAAATGGGAACCCAAATGGGAAACATCCCAAGGATCCATCAACTTGTCCTCAACTTGTTTCACATTCATGAACAAAAGTGATCCTGTCACTTTTTGCGGCATAGCATTCAGCTGCAAAAAGGAATGAGAGAGGCCAGACACAAAAGGTCACATATTGTAGGATTTTATTTCTCTCAGCTATCTAGAAAAGGTAAGTTCACAGAGGTAAACAGAAGGTTAGTAGTTATCAGAGCCTGGTTGCAGTGAGGGGGAAATGGAAAAGGACTGATTACTGGCATGGGGTTTCCTTTAGGAGTGATGATTTATTTGGGGACAACAGAGAGAATGGTTGAAAAGCATTGTGAATGTACTAAATGCCTGTGACATTCACCACAATAGTGCAATAATATTTTTTAAACATAAAAAGTGCTTATTGGCTTAAGACTTCTGCAAATAGACTGGGAATTGACTTCAACAAATGCTGGGCTTCCTTTGTCGCTCAGCTGGTAAAGAATCCACCCGCAAGGTGGGAGGGGGGACCGGGATGGGGAATACATGTAAATCCATGGCTAATTCATTTCAATGTATGACAAAAACCACTGCAATGTTGTAAAGTAATTAGCCTCCAACTAATAAAAATAAATGGAAAAAAAAAAAGAAGAATCCACCCGCAATGTGGGAGAATTTGGGTTTGATCCCTGGATTTGGAAGATCCACTGGAGAAGGGAATGGCTACCTACTCCAGTATTCTAGCCCGGAGAATTCCATGGACTGTGTAGTCCATGGGGTCGCAAACAGTTGGACATGACTGAGTGACTTTCACTTTTCAACAACTGCTAAAATGCATCCTTTAGGAAAACTTTTTGAACATAATACCAGGGAACAACATAGAGGAATACTTGAAGATACCACTAAATTTTTTAAAGATGCCCCTATAGTGTTAAGGGAGATACTGAAGATAGCCAATAGATTTATTTGCCTTAAGAATCTTATTATTGTGGTGTTTCAGTGCTCCAGATAATAGAAGCCATTCTCCTAAAATATCCCGTAGTGGGCATAGGCTCTTGGACACTTAGAAATGGGCTTGACAGCTTGGGACCCAATGGACTACCCTCGTTGAAAATATTGAGTATGAGTTAGGTAAAACAAAAAAAACAAGGCTGATATAAGGGGTGAAATCTATAATGCATAAGTTCTATGTAGGGAAGGGTTGATTATCTTCACTGTGTCTCCTACTAAAGGCCATAACTCCCAAATACCATCATCTGGGGGATGGAGTGGGTAAACATTTAAATATATGAATTTGGGAGGGGGTGTCACTGTTTAGTGTAGAGCAGGTGATTAGCCCAGTCATGAAAAGAAGTCTCTATTCATTTCTTGGAGCCATGAAGTGAATTGGGGAGCCCTGATGAATCCCTTTTCAGCTCCTATTTTTACTCCTTCCACTCTCCATTCTCCATTCTCGAGGCATCCATGTAAACTTGTATGTTCTTTTCTAAGTAGCTTTAGCAACATTAAAACCTCCAAATTCTCCTTCTGTCTCTCACAGGAGCTTTAAACAGTTGCTCATATGTGGTCTATACACTTTATCTTTTTCTTCTTAATACATGTATATATATATGTGTGTGTGTGTGTGTGTGTGTGTGTGTGTGTATGCGTGTGTGTGTATATATATATATATGTGTATATTATTGACATACAGTTGACTTACAAAGTTTCAGGTGCACAGCAAGGTGATTCAGTTATACATATACACATATATTATTTTTCAGTTTATTTTCCATTATAGGTATTTCAAGAGATTGAAAAAGGAATTACAGTTCTCAGTGTTATATAGTAAAACTTTGTTGGTTGTTGCACATCTTTTTTTTAAATTAGAAATCTAGCATCCTATTCATACTAAGTCAAACAAGTGGAATCAATCTGTCATAAATTTTTTAGTTAGGCAAACATTAATAAGTTTTCTAAAATATATATTATACATACTAGTGAGTAACTATTATTCACTTAATACCATTGTACCATGATTGGGTAACAGAAAAGTAATAGAATTCTATATCACCAAAGCTACCATTTAATAGGAAAACCTGTAATCACTCTTTAAAATCCTGACACATATCAGAATTATCTTAGAATTTTTTGAAAAAATGCCAAGGTATTGCTTTTATTCTCCAAAACTACAGATATGTTGCTAATGAGCAGCCATGCTTAAAATCAACTGGACCATAATGATGATCTTTTAGTTTTATCTAGTTTGTTTCGTTTTTTTCCACTTCCTACTTGGTGCTCCTGTTTAATTTATTTTATGTTTTCCAATTTCTCCATCTCTTTCTTTTGATGTTCTTTCTCAAGCCTTTATTAACTTTTTAAAGTAAGTGTATCTCTGATGACCTGAGCTGACACAAGGTGGCAACTGGGGACCACACCCAGCTTCTCATACCCCAGGGTGCCACCCTATAGGGGCATTGTGGTTTTGTTTTTGCAATGGTGCAATGTAAAGGAAGGGACTCTTGTGGGCTCAAAGTATGACCTGGGGCTGGAAGGCTTCCCTGCCGTCTCAGAGCCTTGATCACTCATTGGACGGCGGTCATGCCAACCCTTGCCTCCTGGCAAATGAGCTTAGAGCTGGCGTTGGAGGAAGTGGTCCCCGGTTGACCCTTCCAGCTCCACCTACCGCCGCCCGCCCATCAGGGTCTTTCCCGCCTGTCCAGCCATCTCAGCCTCGGCCTGGTGGGCCAGTCTGCTGGCCGCCCTCTTGAAGTTCCTGTTGTGGGGCCTACACCAGCAACTCGCAGACTCCTGTTCCCTGTGCAGCCATAGTCTCTGCTGTCCCCACCCCCACCCTGCGGTCCCACTGCCAATAGCGTCTCCTCAGCGCGACACTCAGCCCAGCGGCCGCCATCTTCCCCGCAGACGTCACTGCAGGCCCATCACTGTCTGGCACGTCTGGCCTGCCATGTCTGCCACAGAGGAGCACGACTGGATCCCAGGTGGCCAGGATAGAGCTGGTGGCGGGGCGGGCCGCGACCCCAGTCTCCCTGGGGTCCAGGCATCCGCTTGGGAGGGGATGGAAGGAGTCGAGGAGGCCACGGCTCTTCTGGCCTCCTTGGAGGTCTCCAGAGCCCTTCCCGGGGAGCAGGGTTGGCCACAGGCCACAGTGGAAGAGAAATGTGATAGAGAGCCGTTAGAGGAGGAGGAGATGGAGGAAGATGTAGAGGAGATGGAGGAGGACGAGGAAGAGAGTGAGGCTCATTTCGAGTTGGAGGACGTGGAGGAGGAGGAGCACCTGTCGGGAGAGGTCGAGGAAGAGGAGGACACAGAAGAGGAGGACGAGAATGAGCAGGAGGGTGCGGCAGTGGTTACAGGCCTTGGGTTCTCTGCGGGGATGTTTGGGCCCCTGTTCTGGAGTCAGGTCGACTCCTTTATACGCAATTTACATGACAACAAACATGTCCTCTTCCGGCCTCACGCTGACCACCTGATGGCCAGGGGCTGCTCCCAGCCACCCTCGGACCCTGGAGAAGGTCCCGTGCCTCCTCAGGAGCAGGAAGACCTGGGAGAGGGAGGCAAAGTCTTGCAGGGTGAGTACCCAGTGGAGGGCGCTCCACCCTGGGAGCTGCGGGATCCTGCGGAGGGGGTTGCATCCTAGAAGGCAGGGGAACCGGCGGTGGAGGCCGAGTTCTGGGCGAGGGAGCCCTGACTGCTGCCTCTGAGACTGGGAGGTTGAGGCCTGTGGCCCCGGAGGGGCCGAGGCGGGCAAGTGGTGGCTGAGCCTTCAGGCCCTTGTGGGGCCATTGAGCTCAAAGGCAGGTCTCTGGCAGTCAAGCAGACGGTCAAAACTCTCAAAAACCTCTGGGCACAATTTGCACAAGTGGAAGGCCAATTCTATAGACCTTCATGGTCTCAGAGATAAAGCATGCTGCCTTCACCCAGCCTAGAGGCAAACAAATGGCATCCCTCCCTTTTGGTCAATGGCTTTAAAAAATGTGAATATTCTCGGTAGGAGGATCTCAGCAAATGATGACATAACACAGGGGCACTTTTCAGCGATTGAGGAATCTTCCATAGAATTTTTTTTTATAGCCTTACTTGAATGTGGGCTGTTTATTTATTTTTTCATTTATTTTTATTAGTTGAAGGCTAATTACTTTACAATATTGTAGTGATTTTAGCCATACATTGACATGAATCAGCCATTTGTCTTTAAATCAAAAGAACATTTTTTCCATTGAGGTTCCGACAAACACATACAAAATGGTATCAGTATCAAATGATTCAGATCCCTTCTCCAAAGGGGCCAGAAATAATCAGATCTGTGTGAGATCTACTGGAAAGGGGGGAAAAATGTTTGTGAAAATTGTCAAGCAGCAGACATGGGGGTGGGGGCTAGAATTGTATCAAACAGTAGAAACATGTCCAGCTATTATTTGTTTTTTCTTTTATTAAACATAGTCCTCTTCTCTCAGGCCTAGACTCTGCTGCTGATTTTAAGTTGGGATATTTTCCCTGCCAACTTTTGACACCAAAGTCTGCACCATTCTGCCCTAATGATGAGGGTGAGTACCAGTATGAAAACGCTGATGAAGAGGAAGAGGATGGAAATGAAAAACCTGAAGGACTCTAAATGGATATGGTCTCAGCAAGGAGCAGCTCTGGATAATACAGGTATGATCGTATAGGCTTTAGTATGGCATAACCATTCCTGACGCATACCTGTTACTAACAGCTTTATATTTTTTTAATTTTTCTTCTGTAAAGGAAATAAGAAAATTGTTGAAACTTAATTTTGGAAAAACAGTTTATTGTTAATAATGTATTCTAGATAATGTAGGAGGCAGTATGTTCTGAAATGTATTTCATATATAGCCACGAGACCTTTGTCCTGTAGCTTTAAGTCTACTACAGATAGGAAATTTATCAGACCTGGAAATGGAGACCAGTGCTTCTTTAGAGAATCGTCACCAGAAGCAGCAGCTAAAGTGACTAGGCCATGCATTAGCTGTGTCATCATCACCTGGTCACAGAATTGTAGTCTCTTGTACTGACAATGACTTTGAGAAAGTGATTCCTTACAAAGTAGTAAGACGTTAAGGGTTTCAAGAGGACTGCATTTCAGGATTAATTCACAAATATTAGGTCAATTTAGATTTTTTATTCAAAAGAAAAGAAAATTAGTCTTAGTAAGATTATTGGTTATCACTGAGTTGGTAATTAAATATTTGTTTCTATTTCCTCTATTCATTCATCTTTTAGTCTCTCTCTCTCACCTTTCTTAGTTTTCATGCATGTGGATGTTTGATAAAGCCTCATTCTCATTTTACACAGGTGGAAACTGAAAGTCGGGAAATATAAGGGATTTATGATTTGTGTAAGGGAACACCAGTTTGTAAGGTGGATCCTCTACTATATTTTATTGAAAGAAACTGATGGATGACCTAGCTTGTCTGGACCAGCAGCATCAGCATCACCTGGGAACTTGTTTGCAGTGCACATTCTCAGACCATGCTCCAGACCTACTGAGTTGGAAATTCTGAAAGTAGGCTGCTAGCCATCAGGGTTTTACAGTCCTCCAGTTGCTACTAAAGCACACTGAAGTTTCAGAACCACTGCTTTAGAGCAGTGGGGGAAAGGTTTACTACATCTACTGTGGGATCATCCTTAATTCACTGACTTGGTATTGCAGGTAAACAAAACAGGGTGGTAAGATCTGGACTTAGGAAGACACTAGAACTCTCAGGGGTTTGAGACAGACAGCACTCTGGGAGGGGTGCGTTAGTATCCTAAGGTTGCCATAACAAATTACCACAAACCAGATGGCTTAAAACAACAGAAATAAATTCTCTCACAGTTCTGGAAGCCAGAAATCTGAGGTCAATATATAGGAAAGGGTGGTCCCTTCCAGAGGCTCTGAAGGAGAATCTGTTTCATGCCTCTCTCCTAGTTTCTGGTGGTTGCTGTCAATCGTTTTCACCACTTGCCTTGTAAATGCATGATTCCAATCTCCATCTCCACATAGTGTTTTCCCCTGTCTGTTTCTGTGTCCTTTCTCTTCTCATAAGGATACCAGTCATACTGAATTAAGGACCCACCCTAGTCCAGTATGACCTCATCTTAACTCTTACACCTGCAAATATCCTAGTTCCAAATGAAGTCACATTTACAGGTTAAAGGGGTAGAACTTCAACGTATCTTTTCAGGGGGACAAAATACAGCTTATAACAAGGGGCAAAGATTCAGGGGTGGAAGTGACAAATAGATAAAACCTACTTCTGAAAGGATAAAGGCATTATGATACCATACATATATGAAGTTTAAAAACATGCAACAGTTCTTATATTGATTATAGGTTCCTATATTTGTAGTAAAAGGTATACACAGGAGTGATGCATACATATGTAGCATGCAGACAGGTGTGTGTGAAAACAATAAACTATTTAGGACAGTGGTTAAATCTTATTCAATGGGGGGAATTCAACTGGGGAGAGGTATAATGGGTTTAAATTTTATTTGTAATCTTTTGTTTTTATGATGAGCGATGGTTGCATGGGTGCAGTAATCTCTGTACCTTTGTCTAGGTCTGAAATATCTCCTCATCTAAAGAAAATTGCAAGCAGAAATGGGTCTAATATCTGGAACTTATTGAAGGAAAAATGTAAAGTGGTATTTGAGCAGAGTAGAGGATCAGAGAAGGAGAGTACCAGGGGTTTGAGGGTAGAAGGCCTTATTTCTATATTTAGTTAAGGCCACTTGAATGCTCACTAGTTAGCAGCAATACCTTTTCCTATTTTCTGTGCTAGTTCATCTCATATCCTTGAGTATATTAACATTATTTATTAATGTTTCTCCCCAACTCCCTGAAGTTTGAGCTTCTGAATAGTTGAGAACTTAAGAGCTTCTATTTGTCTCTTCTAAAGCATTGTGGTTTCTTCTTCATAGGTGCTTGATAAAGGTTTGTTAAAGTGGAGTTAGTATAAGGTATCCACAACCCTTTTCCATGACTCTGCCTTGTCCTTTGAGAATGTATTATCACATAGTAACACAGAGTATTCCTTATAGCTGGAACAGAGAAAAAAGGCACAAGACCTTTTTTCATTGTTGTTTAATGAAATAACAGTCCAAGTAGAAATTTATCCATGTAGTGTCACTTGAAAGGCTTCAGATTGGTTCTGTTTGGTTCATGCCATGCTAGGAGCGTGTGTGTGTGTGTTTGTGTGTGTGTGCATGTGTGTGTGTGTTTCCGTGTTAATATAGTTAATGTAATGTAATTCAATCGTGTACAACTCTTTGCAACCCTGTGGACTGTAGGCCTCCAGGCTCCTCTGTCCGTAGGAGTGTCTCACTGGAATGGGTTAGCATTTCCTCTTCCAGGGGATCTTCCCGACCCAGGGACTGAACCCGCACCTCACAGGTCTCCTGCATTGCAGGCAATTATTTAACACTGAGCCACCCACGTATAACCGTAGTTAATATGAAAGGCCCTTATGCAGGCTTAAGAATTTTTGGAGGTTCACTTTAAACAAAAAAACACCTCTTTTTGGGATAAGCCTTTTTTGGTGCATACTCTAAGTTCATGTCCCTGCCTCTCATTATGGTCCAGGTACCTAGGACCCTGAATTTACTCCCTAAGTGGCCCCATGTCCCCAGCCCCAAGAGGCATGTGTGTTCCTCTTCACTGAGTCTGTGCTTCTAAGGCTTGAGTGGCACTGTCAGTGCTATACTCTCAGAACTGAGAGGAAGCTAAGAGGTGGTGGCTTTGTATACAGGCAACAGGACAAGTGGTCCACATTATCCACATAGATGTACGTGATGCCTCTCATGGTGAGGGAGGAAGCTCAGCCTTGCTTCACTGAAGGTTGCTGAAGCTCTGACATATCGGGCTTCTCTGGGTCTCTGAGAGATGGTCCCTAAATCAGGTCAGGGACAAACCCTGCATTTTCTGTTACTCTGGGTGTTTGTGGGTTTCCTATTTTCACATGTATTGAATATATTCTCACTGAGTCCTTCAACCTTGAAAATTTTGAGCTTCTTTAGGATAAGACCTGTCTTGTATCTATCTGTCTCACCCAGGAAAGGTTAGGGTGCTTTGATATTTTCCTTGGTTATGGCTCATCTTCTGAAAGGATGTGATCCAAAACTCTCCTTTATTCCACCACCTGGGAGATTACCATTGGGAGAAAAAGAAAGGGGTATGGTGGGTGCCAGAGATGGAAACGATTTTCTGTTACCACTTAGGGATATTTTAATGATACTAAAGTTACTGATGAAGAATCATTGTACCCTAAGCCCCTTATTTTCAGATGCTTATAACTCCAAGGGATACAAATGAGTACACATTTATAACCCTAACATGGCAGGACTCTTAGAAAATGATGTTTTGTGAAATGTGGTATTATTAAGTCTTCTGTGATATGAGTCACATAATATCATAGCATAGGTTTTGAGGCATGAAATTTACATTTCTTAGAAGTCTAAGCAATGGTTTATGTGGGCATAGATGAGGAATTGATTTCATCACCAAATCCATGAAGAAAACCAGTTTAAAACTATTCTGAGAGGCCCTTAAAGGTTGGCTCTTTTTCTCTCCCTCTCATTCAATTTGTTATTTATTCTAGTGCTTCTATTTCCATTTCCCACCATATTTTAGTCCCCATCAGTTCCTTATAAATTATGAACTATTTAGTATATACAGAAGATAATACAGCATATATGTAAGGTATATCATAATAATATAAAAACCTGTATACCCATCACCAAGCTTGAAAATTAGAACATAGCCAATGCTTTTGAATCCTACCTGTGCCTTCCCTGATTCACCTTCTCATTCCTTCCCAGAGGTAACAACTATCCTGAACTTTATTACTAACTCACTTATTTATACATTCACTGCATGGAAATGTTCCTTCAAATTACATTATTTCTTGTCCATTTTGGACTGTATGCAAATATAATTATACTAGATGTATTACTTGTCTTTCTCCTCTCCCCCATCACCCTGTGTTTGTGAGATTTACGTATACTGATGTGTACAACTTATAAATCAGTTTCCATTGCTGTAATGTTATCCATCATATGAAAACCCCATAATGTGTCTATTTCCTGTTTGTGGACATATGGGTTCTTTTCGTTTTCATCTTTTTGCAAATTATTGTGTGGTGAACTTTCTCATTCATATCCCCTGATGCCCATCCATGAGAGTTTCACTAGATTCTCAGTTGAGGGCAATTTTATACACCATGCCCCCCAACCAAGGAACATTTGATAATGTCTGGAAACATTTTTGGTTGTCATAACTGAGGATGTGCTCCTGGCATCTGGTGGGTAGAGGCCAGAGACACTGCTAAGCATCCTACAATGGACAGGACGGTCCACAATGCAGAATTATCTGTTCCAAAATATCTAACAGTTGAGAAGCCCTGATCTCCAGTACATTCATAGACATGAAAGTCCTGGATCGTATTGTGTGCCCAAGTTCTGTTGCAGGGAAAAGCCAATTCTGACCCCATGTTGGAACTGTTACTTTGACTTGCTCTTCATTGCTTTTGTTATTATAGTCATACGTAATGGCTGCCTCAGAGAATCCTGCCCCTCTGCCTAACTGTTAAACTAAACTGCTTTTGTTCAAGACCCTATCCACATGTGGATGACTGAAAGGAAGAAGT